GTAAGAATGGCTCCTCTGGGCCTAAGCTTTGTACAAACACCATGACTTACGTTGCATAGCTGCTTTCCTTCTGGAAGTCTGGAATTTTGGTATGTGCTAGGCAGAAGATGGCTATGTGACCAGCCCCCAATAAAAACTCTGGGCATGGAGTCTCTAATATGCTTTTCTGGTAGATATTTCACATGTGTTAAATTAAGGTGTCCCATGTGACTCCACTGGGAGAGGACTCTTGACGGCTTGTGCCTGGTTTCTTCCAGACTTTGGCCCATGCACCTTTTCCCTTTGTTGATTTCCCTTTGTATCCTCGCACTATAATAAATCATAGCCATGAGAATGACTATATGCTGAGCCCTGTGGGTCTTCCTGGAAATAGTCTCAGGAGACCCCCCCCCCCACCATACCTAATAATTATGAGCTTTTGTACCAAAGTATCATTTCTTCCCTGAGTTTCAAATCATATTAGCTAAGGCTACAATTGCTTTTGACTTGGTATGATGGCACTATTTCATATAACATTAGAAGCTCTCTGATTGGTAGTTCTGTATGTCTGATTAATTAAAAAGAGGGTGATGCATTAGCTAATGCGTATAATTCATCTCAGAGGTTAAATCTTTTGATGCATTAGATCTGGGTGTGCAGATGGGGGGAACATAACACAAAGAAAAAACCAGGACTGAGGATGTTTTACTAGCTCTTGATTTTTTTCAGTTATCTCCACTCCTCTCCTACAATATTCACCCCCGAACTCTCTAGCTTTTTCCTGACTGGATAACTGGCTCTGAAATACCTTCAACTTCTGAGGCCAGTGGAGATCTGCTATTCAATGCTACTATATACCCTTTATAGTCAGGTCCTTTCTAATCCAACGGATTCTGATCAGTGCACAGAAGGATGTAGATTTTTGGGTTCACTTTGTAAATCTGTAAAGGTTGTAATACATATTCTCCCCAGATATACTACCGATGCATGTATATACACACATTGTTTATGTATGATTTTAGAGTGCTCAGGGTCTCTGTGAAGCCCATTTATGGACTAGTTCCCAACACTGTACAACAGAACTTTCTGCAAGGATAGAAATGCTCTATTTCTGAGCTACCAATACGGAGCCACTAGTCATGTGTGGCTACTGAACATCTGAAATGTGACTAGTGTGTCTGAGGGACTGAAGTCTTAATTTTATTAATTTTAATTGATTAAAATAGCTACCTGTGGCTGGTGGCTATTGTACTAAACAGTGCAGACTTAAGATCTAAATTATTTTGCTTCCCCATCTTACTCTCTTCAGTCCTGATAGTGATGCTGGGATGAAGGAGGTGAGAGGGAGTGAGGAAACCTGAAAGTCCCAAATAAGAGCATAGCTTCTACAGTATGACACAAGTCATACTGAGCAAGAGTCTCCTTGACACCAAGCAGGCCAGGTCATTAGGTAATGGCCCAGGGGCTTAAACAAACTTGGGAGTTGAGGCTTCTGCTTTGCCTGCGGAGGTCAGGGCAGGGCTGCCAAAAATAGAACTGCCTCCTTTTGTAGCACTTGAAACTATTTGGGCCTTATGGACTCAACATTGGATAACCATAATTTTTCAGTTGGCATAAACAAAACAGATCCCCTAGGAAACCTCTTCCACAGTAAACACTCACTGGTTGGATTTTGTGACTGGATTAAACTTAAAAACGAACCACAGTTCCAAAATAGGACAACACTTACTGTTGCTGCCTCTTCCAGGGCCTGTTTGTTTCCTCCAAGGGCTTTAAAAAGAACATTTTATTTAGTTACTATCGGATTTTAATGATAAACCATCTTCCCTGATATAACCAGTTATCTGTCTAAAACTGGACCAGATTAAAAGCCCTTAGTTCAACATCAAGGACATTCACAAACCAGTTTTAATTTTTCTCCACGTTAGACTGGCCCCCTCGTAACATATTCCACGTTCCACCACCCCAAAGTTCTTATTTTCCAAATGTGCCTCTGCCTCTTATGACTCACTGCCTTGGTACTATTTCTTCTACCAGAAATACTCCGCTGTGCCTGACACATTTCTAATTTATCTTCCAAAACTCAGTTCAAATCCAAAACTCTGTTTATTTTTCTGTCACAACAGATTGCTGCAAAGTGCTGAGCTCGTTGTTCATTCTCATCATACCCAACAACTACTCAGAGCTGTTTAAGGGTCCACCCTACTTTGAACTGAATTCCTTGAGGACAGTTTCTGGCAAAAAATACGACATAGAGTAAGTATGTAGCCAATGTATGTTGAAGGAAGAGGTCTGTGCAAGATTCAGATGTAGAATAAAGTAGAGGTAATCCTCCTTCTAGAAACTTTCATAGTGTCCTATAGAACCGTTAAGAATTCAAGCTTTGGAGGTGCCTGGGGCCCCTGGGTGGCTCAGTCGGTTAAGCATCCGGACTTTGGCTCAGGTCATGATCTCGCGGTTCGTGAGTTTTAACCCTGCATCATGCGCGGTGCTGACAGCTCAGAGCCTGGAGCCTGCTTCAGATTCTGTATTTCCCTCTCTCTCTGTCCCTCCCCTGCTCATGCTCGCTCTCTCTCTCAAAAAACTGAATAAACATTAAAAAAAATTAAAAAAAAATTTTTTTTTTACATTTATTTCCGAGAGACAGAGCGTGAGCAGGGGAGGGGCAGAGAGAGAGGGAGACACAGAATCTGAAGAAGGCTCCAGGCTCTCGGCTGTCAGCACAGAGCCCGACGCAGGGCTCGAACTCACAACCGCGAGATCATGACCTGAGCCGAAGTCGAACGCTTAACCGACTGAGCCACCCCGATGGCCCCCCCCCCCCCCCCACCAATTTTTTTAACAGAAAAAAGAAAAGGATTCAGGCTTTGAACCAGAATGCCTGGGTTTAACTGCACTCTGCTACTAACTAGTTTATGAGCCCTTGAGCAAAGTAACGAACATCTCTGCACTTTATTTTGTCACCTATAAAACCGAGGCAATATTAACAAGTAACACATTTGTTATGAAGATAAAACTAGTTAACATACGTAATACACTCAGTACAATGCCTGTCTGGCACAGGAAGCCCTCTCTAAATGTGCCTACTGACCACTACTCTCTTTTGTAATTTTAATTATACAATCACATGTGCATTTTAAAAAATGATCCTCCTCTGCTAACTTGTAAGCTCCTGAGGGTAGGGACAAAGTCTGTTTTATTTCCCAAAGCATTCTCAGCACCTAGCATGGTGACAGAGACATGCTCCGTGAATATTTGTAGACATGTGCAAACAAAGGGCAAGCCAAAGGGTCATTAAATATCTACTATTTGAACAGAACATGCATTTCTGGTCAGGAAGGAGGCTACACAATGGGTGATAATAAGGATAATAGGAAAAGTAAGGGTGTCCCCGCAGAAAGGACAGCCTCTTGCATTTCCTTGGACATTTAACAAGGGAGTGAACAGGCTGCGATTTTTCTCTGGGCAGAAAAACTCTAGTGCGTGCACTTCCCAATTTGATTTGCTCAGTTTTTAAACTGACAGTTTCCACAAGATACCGAACGCACTGCTTGGGGTTATCCTCCCCTCGGAGCTCTGGTAACAAACCGAGTTACTCATTTATTCATTTTTAGATGACGGGATAAAATATTTTAGGAAAGAGGGTGCTCTGTGACACGTGAAAATCATGCAAAATTCACATTTTGGTGTGTCCATAAGTACATTTTACTGGAACACATACATGCCCATTCATTACAGCTGTTTCGTAACTGTTAACAGCTTGCGTTGAGTAGCTGCCATAGAGAACCCTCTGGCCCAGAAAGCCTAAAATATTTACTATCCGGTCTCCTAGAAAGGACGTCCGCGTACCTGCGGGGGTTGACGATGTTAATTAAGTACTACGCAGGAAAATAAAGCAGGGAAGGGAGATAAGAGGGCGGGGGGAGCGGTAGGACTGCAATTTCCGAAAGCGATCGGGGACGACCTCACTCAGGTGACCACAGAGGCGCCCCGGGCCAAGGCCGGGGGAAGCCAGCAGCTCTTACCAAAGTAGTCGAGCCAGTTCATCTCGCGCAGCACCTTGGGGAGCCTCAGGATCTCGATGTTGTACAGGTTATCCATCTCCTTGAGGAGGTTCTGCCTGTCTGACTGAATTTGCTTGGATCGGATTTGCACTGCGAGAGGGCAGAGCCGACAGAACACGGGTCACGAAAGCGGCCCGGAACCCGTGCTGCCCGCACCCCAAGCCCGCCGGGCCCCCGCGATCGCCCCGGGGTAGCGGCAACGACCCGGGCGCCGCCCCTTACCTTCACGGTCGAAGTCCCTAAGAAAGGAGGCGAGCTTCCGGCTCCGTAACGAGTTGGTCTTGGCGACCCGACTGCCGCCCTTCCTAGCCGGAGCCATGGCGCTCGGGTGGAGGCTGCGGGGAGCTGGGGACGCAGCCACAGGGGGTCAGCGGCCGAGATCGGGGAGGGAAAGTACGGGGGCCGCGGAGGAGCGGGAGAAGGCGGGAGGGCGCCCTACAGGTAGGGCTGGTAGGAGGCCCTGTCCTTGGAGGCCCGAGCATAAAGGAGTCGCGAGGCACGTACCTGCGGGTCGCGATATGGGCTGAGAAAAACCTCGCTGCTGCAGCTGAGAGGAGGGAGCGGCTCCGTGGCTATCCGGACGTGCGACCGCCGCCACCAAATTCAAACTGCCACAGACTGACGAATGAGAAGCCGCCGTCTTAGGTGGGTCCCACAACATCCAATCACAAGGAAGCTCCGCGACCAGGCCGCCCGTCCACATGTAGGACTACAACACCCAGAAGGCATTGCGGTGACGACATAGGTTCGCGACTAAGCAGCCTCGCAGGGGCATGCGCAGCGAGACTGCGGACGCTTGGGGGCATCCCTGGCGGGTCCTCAAAATTTGACGGTGTTAGCTTTCAGTTTTCTCGCTGGTTTACGGAAAGGCAGCTTCAAGGAAAGGAGACAAGATTCTGGCTCGGGAAGCGCGCGTTTGGAGAGAGCCCTCCGGCCTGCGGAATCCGCGGTCTGAAACCGCGGAGACTGCCTTAGCCGCGGACGCACCTCCTCCGACGGGTAGAGTGGACACCCTTCCGGAGGTGGGAGACGAGGGCCCGGCCTCCGAGAGCCCCTCTGAAGGTAAGACAGCGCCGCGCGCCAGGACTTCCTGTCGGAAGGGATGGACAGCCCCCCGCGAGGAGACCTTGGCTTAGCTGAACCTCACTTGAACACGAGAATCACTCCTGGACCCGGTACTTCTCCCGCCCACTTGCGGCCCTAATGCTGTTGTTGGTTTTTTTTTTTTTTCTTTTCTTTCTGCTTTTGTTCTCGGCAGAAGATGACCCAAGACCAACCTCTGCTTGCGGTGCAGGAGGCCCTGAAGCAGTGCTTCCCGGTGGTGGAGGAGCAGCAGGGCCTGTGGCAGAGTGCGCTAAGGGACTGCCAGCCCCTCCTGCTGTCCCTCAGCAACCTGGCAGAGCAGCTGCAGGCGGCCCAGAATCTGCGGTTTGAGGACGTGCCACCACTTCGGGCCTTCCCAGACTTAAAGGAGCGGCTGAGGCGCAAGCAGCTGTGGGCTGGCGACACTGTCTTGGACAAGTTAGAGGAGAGGCTGTAAGAGTTCAGTGCTGCTCCTTCTTGGCGGAAAAATGGGAAAACTTGGTCTTTAATAAGTAGCCAGTATCAGTCAGAAGAGAGTTTTCTCCCTTACTTGAGAGCATGATATTTGGAGGTGTCCCAACCTTCCCTCCTCTGTTCAACTTTTCCCTCCTTCCAACCCTCTGCCCCATTTGTTGCACAATGGGACCTCTTGTCAGAAAGTCATTTTATGGCATTTCCATTGCCCCGTAAGGCATGGCAGTGGTGGCCTTAGGAGAAGTTACAAAAGGAGAAGAGAAAAGCCATGGAGAAAGCTTATTAGCCCCCCTCTACAGTTCTTTTGTAAAAAGCAGTGAGGAATTGTACTTTAAACTTCAGAGGTGCTAAGAGTCAAAGGTTTTACCCTGGTATTATCTCATAAAATCTTTTCAGCATCTCTAACTTAACCTCACTTCATCCCATTTTGCTGGTGAGGAAACCGAGTCTCCATCAGATTGCCTGTGGTCACACAACTGATAAATGGTAAAGCTGGGCTCTAACTCAAGTTTACCTGACGTCAAGGCCAGAGTGGTCCGCTGCCACTCTGTTCTGCTATACGTTGATGTCTCTGTGCCAAGCATAGCACATCTCTAAACTCTTAGTATGCCGAACGGGAGACCCTCTAAGAGTTGTAAGTATTGAGGATAAACAAGAGGCAGGGCACGTAGGCCATTCCTTGACTAGAGCAAGAGAAGGTTCTAGTGTATACAGTCTGCCATAGACTACTTGGAAATGGTCAAAGATGGGGCCCTTCTTTGTATTCATTTGTACAAAATACATTCACGAAGCCTTTACGGGATGCCGAGTGCAAGGTGCTCGGAATACAGCAATGAACCAGACTTAGTTTCTTTTTTTTTTTTTTTTCCAACGTTTATTTATTTTTGGGACAGAGAGAGACAGAGCATGAACGGGGGAGGGGCAGAGAGAGAGGGAGACACAGAATCGGAAACAGGCTCCAGGCTCTGAGTCATCAGCCCAGAGCCCGACCCGGGGCTCGAACTCACGGACCGCGAGATCGTGACCTGGTTGAAGTCGGACGCTTAACCGACTGCGCCACCCAGGCGCCCCCAGACTTAGTTTCTTAGTTGATTAGAAGAGATAGACCATCAGTCAATTAAATTATGTTGTGGTATATTCTAAGGTACTTTTATTTCAGTTGTTGACATATTTGTGAGGATTGGGCTGTTACTTTAAGTCTATTTTTTTTTTTTTTTGGTTTTTTTTTTTTTTTTTTTTTATTTTTATATTTTTTTTTTTTATTTTTGAGAGAGAGAAAGAGCGAGTGAGCAAGCAGGTGAAGGGCAGAGGGAGAGAGAGGCACAGAATCTGAAGCAGGCTCCAGGCTCTGAGGTGTGAGCACAGAGCCTGACGCAGGGCTCGAACCCATGGTTCATGACCTGAGCTGAAGTCGGACACTTAACCGACTGAGCCACCTAGGCGCCCCTAAGTCTGTTTTTTAATTGTGAGTCAAGGCCACACGTTTTGAAAGCCTCAGTTCTAGGTTAGGGAATTCTTTGTCCTTTTGGAAGTTGTAGCCTTCTTCTTGGTGGCTGGTCCCTTGGAGTCACCAGTGGAATGATAAAAATATTTACCATAAGGTGGGCACTTTCCTGCTGGGCATTTTATATACGTTATTGCACTTAGTTCTCATAAGAACCCGTTCGCTCATTCATCCATTGAACAAGTGTTTGTCATTGTGTGCACCAGTGTCCGTGTTCTAGGTACTTAGGGTGTGCAGTGAGCAAGACAGACCATTTTTATACGTGATTGAGAATAAGTAACTTTCCGAGGATCCACAGTAGTCTGTGCCTCCAGAGCAATTTTTCCCATTGGGACATTTGGCAATACCTGGAGACATTACTGATCGTCATAACTCGGGGAGGGTGGGGGCATGGTTTGCTCCTGTCATCTAGTGGGTACAGGCCAAAGATGCTGCCCGACGTCCTAAAATACACAGGGCAACCTCCCCACCACAAAGAACCATCCAGGCCAAAATGTGAGTGTGCTGAGGTTGAGGAACCCTGCCTTAGGCCTTTCTCATGATATTGCCTAATACGAGACTTCTTTTCCCCCAGAACCGCCCTCCTCAAGGTGCGTGACACCGTCAGCAGCCACGTGGAGCGAGTGCTTCAGACCTATGAGCAGCATGCAGACACGATTGGCATGGATGGTGTCCTCCAGGCTTCGGTTGTGAGCCCTTCGGTGGCTGACATGTTGGAATGGTTGCAAGATATTGAGAGACATTATCGAAATTCGTATCCTTTGCACATGTTTCAGGCAGCGTCCAGAGCTGCTTCAGGAAGTCTTTCAGTCTTCGTGAGATTATACCACTACGTAGTATGGGTCAGTCAGTTCTCTTTGATCTCTGAACTTAGAGAAGAATAAAGCAGGGCAAGTGAGGGATGAGCATTGAGTCCTGACTTGAAATAGGGTGGGCAGGAGAGGGCTCACTGGGTTAGTGGCATTTGGGAAAAGACCTAACGAGAGCGAAGGAGAGAGCCATGTGATATTTGGGGGAAGCGTGTCCCAGGTAGAGGAAACCGCAAGTGCAAAGGCCCTTTGGGGGAGAGCATGCCTGACATGTTCATGAAATAGTGCGGAAGCCAGCAGGGCTGGAGCGCATGAGGACGGGGAGCCTAACAGGAGACACGGTCAGAGAGATGGGGCTGGACCTCATAGGGCCCTGGAGGTCTTTGAAAGGATTTTGGCTTTTGCTCAGAGTGAGGTGGAAAGCTGTGAAGCTTTAGAGAAGAAGGATAACATAATCAGCCTGTGTTTTCTCACAGTATCACCTGGCTGAGTTCGGAGGAAAGACTTGGGGTGGTGTGGAGCCAGGGGAGCTGCAGGAATACCACCAGTTCATTGGAGTTCTGGCCCTTTTCTCTCAATTCTTTCTTTTGTGTTTTTTTTTTTTTTTCCCTAATGTTTATTTATTTTTGAGAGACGGAGTGTGAGCAGGGGAGGGGCAGAGAGAGAGGGAGACACAGAACCCGAAAGGAGGCCCCAGGCTCCTTGCTGTCGGCACAGAGCCCAATGCGGGGCTCGAACTCCTGAACCATGAGTTCACGACCTGAGCCGAAGTCGGCCGCTTCACTGACTGAGCCACTCAGGCGCCCCTCTCATGAGTCTTGCCTGAATCACGCATCTCCCCTCTGGCTTCGGTTTCTGCCTTCATTTGAGTAACTCCCCAATCCGCCCTTCATTCTCGTTGCTAGCCTTGATGTTCAGCTTCCCGCAGCTGCCTCCAGCCGGGTCGCTCCTGGGAGCACAAGCTCCTCGGTCCTGCCGCCACACTCAGTCCCCTTTCCCTCCAGGTGTAGGATCAACCCTGTGTGACCATTGTGCGGGAACTCCAGCAGCCCCTTCCCCCTCTCCCTCTCGCTTTCCTTTTTCACTGCGTTGGTGGCAGCTGCGGCGGTGGCAGCTGTGGAGGCAGTGGGACAGCCTAGGCGGGGGAGCAGTAGCCGCAGCCAGTGTTACTGAGCGCTGACTATGTGCCAGGTATTCTTCTCCCACCGTCCACACGGCCGCCTGTCAGGTGTTTTGAATCCGTTTCCTTGGCGCTTCTTGTATTTTTCTTCTCTATCTGCACTGCCTCTTCCATAGTCTCTTGCCTCTCGTGAGGCCCCTTGATCTGTGCAGCCTCTTGACAGGTTTCTCTGTCTCTGCCTTCTTTCCCTCTAAGCCGGCTCCGGCTAGGGACCTCAGCGGTAGCCTGAAGACGTCTTTGTTCTGCCTGTTGCTTATAGAGGGGTTTTCGACAGCTTCCAGAATCCCCATGTGGGTCTTCGGTGCTCTTTGTGTTCTGGCTCAGCCTGCCTTCTCGGCCACCTTTCTGACTGCTGTGCGTGTTCCAGCCGGCCAGATTGGAGGATTTACTCGGCCCTGAAACCATTCCATGCTTCCTCACTTCTGCACCTTATGCTTTTCTTGCCAGATGGAATCTTCCTGAGGCCCTCCAAATGGGAGGGACTCGTCACTCAACTTCTGAACCGCCACAGAGTTTCCTCTTTTGTGTCCCTGAGATTCTCCCTTTCTACTTTCTGGTTTTTCTGCTCAGCGTGGTGAGATCCTAGATTGTTGGGGTGGTGTTTCATCCCTCTGGCCCTGTAGCACTGTGAGTGAAGAGGTGCTCAGCAAAGATGTGTGACATAGGTGAGTGCGAGAGAGCTACCCCTTACCCTTCTAGCTTCTCGTAGCTCTCCCCAGGGTATTTTTCCCTTCAGCATATTTCGTTGTCTTTTTGAGCAGTCCTTAATTTCCCGGAAGTTACCTGAAGAGAAAGTGCCTCCTGTCCTCCATCCAGTGGGGAGACTTGGCCAACATCCAAGCTTTGCCCAAGGCCTGGGACCGGATTTCAGAAGATGAACACCAAACCCTTGTACAAGGTACTGGTTTTCATTTATGCCTTCATGTCTGCTTTCTTTCTCTGTGTCTCTCTGTCTTACAGAGATGCCCTTGCAGTGCCTCCATATTTTTTATAAATCTGATGTTTTACGTTCCCTGGAGAGGTGATATGCCACAGTTTTTCTCTCTTCCTATTCCAGATACCCTATTGAATGTTTCCTTCTTCTTGGAAGAGTAAGGAAGTGGTGTGTTTATCAGCATACTAGTGAGACACGGTTGAAGGCTGATACTGGTGCATTCTGGTATTTCTAAAGAAATGTCAGTATTGTAACCTAACATACTTGAAAGATTAGTGCCTGGGGCCGGAGGAGTAGCCCTTGGGAGGGTTGTGTTAGATGTTTCTAATGTTGCGGCCTCCCTCTGCTCTGTCATGGTTGAAAGTACGTGGACACCCCTTGCCCTTTTCTAGGCTCGGGAATGGATGATGGAGGCAGAGAGAATGCAGGAAAGGCAGTGCAAGAGAACACTGGGGGCAGGAGCCACAGCCACAGATGTGGTAGGGAAGGAAAGGACGGGGGAGAGAGTGGCATCCCTCTGAGCATCATCCAAAGCTCTGAGCTTGGTTGACACCCGGCCCTGTTATGTGTATTTGTATCAGTACCTGACTCCCTGACGCAAGATGATTCTTCTTGATGATTTAAAGAAATAAGGGTGATATTGATGGAAGACAGTACAGATCTTCCTCGACCTATAATGGTGTTACATCTTGATAATGTCATCATGTAAGTTGAAAATATCATGAGTCAAAAATGCATTTAATACACCTAACCTACCAAATGTCATAGCTCAGCCTAGCCTGCCTTAAATGTGCCCTGAACACTCACATTAGCCTACAGTTGGGTAAAATCATTGAATACCAAGCCTGTTGTACCATAAAGTGCTGAATATCTCGTGTAATTGATTGCAAAACAGAAGGGTGGTATGGGCACGGAGTGGCTGTATAAGTTGTGTACCCTTGTGAACTTGGGGCTGACCGTAAGCTGGGGCTTGCTGCTGTCACCCGGTGTCACAAGAGAGGATCGGACCGCGTATTGCCAGTCCGAGAAAAGATCCAAATTCAAAATCTGAAGTACGGTTTCCAGTGGACACGTATTGCTTTTGCACCATCGTAAAGTTTGAAAACTCGGAAGTCAGAGTCGTCTATCATTGTCCAGCTGCTTTAGCTCCTCGTCGTCATTCAGTTTCCGGAGTCCGCCACCAGGGGGAGGTGGCGCAGCGTGAATCATTCTCAGTGCTTTGTCTTCGATGGTGTTCCTCTGTTCCCTGTCTGAGAGTTAAGTAACTGGGCATAGTGAGACTGCTAAAATGATGGGGGTTTTTTTCTGACCAAAGCTGGCACCTGATTTTCCACATCCCTCTGATCTTGGAGTAGCTGCACGGTGGGAGAAGAGCGCCCGGAATCAGGCCATCAGCGTTATTTCTGAAGCCCAGTGCCTTCATCTGTGAAATGGTTGGGTACTTCCAGACCTGTCAGCTTCCTAGGCTGTGGGAAAATCTGGGTCACTGGATGTAGAGAGGCTTAATAAAGAGTGTAGATATTGTTAAAATGAAGATGACTTTTTTTTTTTTACTACAAAAGTGATCTATATGCTTTTTAAAAAATCAGAGGAAAATTGTAGGAAAAATTTTAAATGTGGAAAAGTATGAAACACAAACTCCATCAGAGATATTTTGATATATGGCTCTTTCTGTGTCCATATCCACAAATTAAAAAAAAAAAACCCACAAATGTGGCATCATTGGTATATACTGTTAAATAAACTTTTTATTTTTTTAATTATTTTTTTAGATAAACTTTTTTATTATTTTTAAAATTTTAAAATTTTTATTTATTTTTGAGAGAAAGAGCATGAGCTGGGGAGAGGCACAGAGAGAGGGAGACACAGAATCCGAAGCAGGCTCCAGGCTCTGAGCTTTCAGCACAGAGCCCGATGTAGGGCTCGAACTCACAGACTACGAGATCATGACCTGAGCTGAAGTCAGATGCTTAACTGACTGAGCCACCCAGATGTCCCTAGATAAACTCAAAAAAAACTTTTTTAGCCATCTTTTCACTTTCCTATCTCTAAAAATAGCTCAACACAATATACACCAGTGTACATCTCCTATACAATTTTAGGAATGTATTATATCTTTTGTTTTTCCAAATCTTCATGTATTTCTACTTATAAAGATTGTACATTCTCATTGCAGAAGATTGAAGTATTACAGAAAGTGAAAATGCACACTGTCTACTGTTTTTAACAATATGGTAGACGTTCTCCCAGGAATTTAAAAAATCTATCACATACGTTAATAATCATAAATAAAACTTAAAAGACATTTGGGTGTCAGGCCTTATGATGTGCTCTGGAGACAGATGAAAGAGATCCCTAGAAAGGTTTACGGTTCAACCAGGGAAAGATTTAAACCAGTGTTTCTCAAGCTTTAACGTGTATAGAAATCACTGGGCTCTTGTTAAAATTTAGACCCTAATTTTGTAGGTCTGGGAGGGGGGCAGCGCCCTAGATTCTATGGGAGCGGTGGGGTGTTCGTTCTGAAACTAGCTGTTAAGACTGCAGCCTCCATCTTGGTCCATCACTCCCTCTTGGATCCCTCACGCTGGGAGAAGTCAGCTGCAGTGTTCCAAGTCGGCCCTGTGGAGAGCTTGTGTGAGAGACCGATGCCTGCCAGCAATCGCGTGACTGAGCTTGGAAGCAGAACCCCTGCGCCCCTGTGACTTAAGCCTTCTGGTGAGACCACAGCCCCAGCTAACAGCTCGACTACAACTTCATGAGGACCTAAGACAAAGGCAACCAGCTGAGCTGTGGCCGGATTCCTGACCCATGGAAACATAATAAACGTTCGTTTGAAACCATTAAGTTTTGGGGTAATTTGTCGCATAGCAATAGAGAACTAATATAACGAGCAAATGGGTTTTTTTGTTTTCTCCCAAATTTTGTACAAACTGTAGCATACTGTGTACTCAGCTTTGCACCTCTCCCCCCTCCCCCAATTACTGTATCTCGAAGATCATTCTATGTGAATACATAAAGAGCTTCCTTAATTTTTTCTAGAATAGTTGCATATTTTTCTGTTGTTTGGGTATACCATAGTTTATTTAAGTAGCCCCTTACCGACGGACATTTAGGTTGTTTTCAAAGTCTTAGTGTCTTCTGGGTTTCCACCACCTTCCTGTACTCCCACCCCCGTTCATTATGTCTGTTTTCCCTGGAATTTTTCAACTAGCTAATCCCACTGCACCGGCTCACCCCCAATAAAGAAAGAAGTCTGTTGGTATTTTTACTGGACTCCTATTTAACTTCTAAACTAAGCAGACTCATAGCAGGAATGCTTCCAGTGATCCCTCCTTAAGCATGCCATAGCATAGGGGTTGAGATATTAGATGGGAGCTCTTTTCTGTTTCCTTTAGTTGGGGAAACAGACTCTTGGAGGTCAGAACCCCTTCCCTGTCAATGAGGCAATCTGTTGGGATGAAATGAAGAATTTAGGATTCTTTCTTTCCTGTCTCTACCGCATCCACGTTTAGAATTTGACCTCAAAATTCTCATGGTGGAGAAGGGGTTTTTCAAAGCCGGTGGGATCATCCTAGGCTCTGAAGAGGACTTCTGCCCTGCCCAAAGAGTGTCCAGATTGCATGGTGACTTCATTGTCTGACTTTAATGTGGATGATAGGAGCCAGGTACCATCCCCAGCTGTCCGAGTGCTGAGTTGTCGGTCCCTTCTCTCTGTGCACATTCGCCTGGGAGGGCGTGCATCTAGAGGAACAAGCTCAGGGAGGAGAGGAAGATAATACACTTGGGAAAGTGTGCTGAATCGTGAGTGACCCAGACCTGGGTTCAAGTCTCAGCTCAGCCTCTCACCAGCTAGTCTTGGGGACATCCTCTCTCCTCTACAGTTTGTTCGTTTGTGTAATGGAGATGACGGTATAGTTCCTTACAGGACCTAAGTGAGAGGAGACATGTAAGGGGTTTGGGTAAATTTGTAAACATGTAAGGGGTGGAAATTTACTACAGACTCTGAGTCACCTAAACGGGTAGCTCTGTGATCCTCTTTAACACAAGCCATGAAACAAGTAGGCTCTGAGACCTGGTGCGTTTCCTAAGCGCCCATGGCTTATCAGTGACATCGCCACATTTTGAATCAGGGTTTTCTGGGCTCTGATGAGAGGAGTCTTTTCCCTTCACCACCATTTCCCCTCTGCTGCAGAGGGCAAATGCACCCCAGCCACCCACTCAGCTGTGACAAGAGTTGGGGGTCCTGCATGGGACGGGATTCCACGCAGAGGTGAGTGCAGTGCTGACCCCATCAGGTGCGGCAGTGGCACATGAAAGCAGGCAAGGTTCTCTCTGGGTGGCCGTGACCTTGCCAGTTAGCCCCCCTTCTGGACCCATAGCCAGGAGGGTAGGAGTGAGTCCCTAGACCGTCTGCCAGAGTCCTGCACCATTGCCCTTAATGCCAGGGCTGGGAGGAGATAGCCAGTCCTTAAGGAATGATGGGTTTATCTTCCAGGCACTCTCTCTCCCCACCATTCCTGAAACGCCGCTTGGTTTTTATATAGAGAAAAAAAAAATTTTTTTTTTTTTTTTTTTTTTTTTCTGAGACTGGTACCTGGTACAGCATATTAGGGCCCCAGCCCCAGAGATTCTGATCTGGCCTGTGTGAGGAGGGGCTAAATGCCTGCATTCTTATCAAGCACCTTTATTCTGTTGCAGGGTCATTCTTTAAGAAAGAGCCTTGGGGGGCACCTGGGTGGCTCAGTTAGTCAAGCAGCTGACTTTGGCTCAGGTCATGATCTCGCAGTTCGTGAGTTTGAGTCCCACGTCGGGCGCTGTGCTGACAGCTCAGAGTGTGGAACCTGCTTTGGACTCTGTCTCCCTCTGCTCCTCCCCTGCTCGCTCCCTGTCTCTCTCTCTCAAAAATATAAAAAAAAAAAATTTTATTTTTTTTTTTTTTTTTTTTTTTTTTTAAAGAAAGAGCCTTAATCCAGGGCCGCCTGGGTGGCTCAGTTGGTTAAGCGTCCAACTCATGTTTTCAGCTCAGGTCATGATCCGGTAGTTTGTGAGCCGGAGCCTCGGGGTGGGCTCTGTGCTGACAACAGAGCCTGCTTGGGATTCTCTCTCTCCCTCTCAAAATAAGTAAATATTTAAAAATAAAGAGAGAGAGGGAGAGAGAAAGAAAGAAGGGAGAGAGAAAGAAAAGGAAGGAAGGAAAGAGAGAAAGAAGAAAGAAAGAAAGAAAAGAAAAAAAAGAGAAAGATGGCTTTAATCCTAAGAAAAAGCAGCAGAGAGAGAGGGCTGGGAGTAACTTCTGCGTATGGCACCTTATAGTCTGCCAGATCTGTATTCATTCCTTCAGAGGCCTCCCTGCGTGCCCAGCACAGAACCGATTGCTGGGGATACAAAGAGACAGAAGTACATGGTCCAGCGGGCCAGGCAGATAGGTAAGCCCATGTTAGAATTGCTGTCATAAAGGACGTGTGGAGTGCAGATGGAGAGTGACTTGATTCTTTTGGTAGGTTTTTGTGGGAGGGAAGAAAGGGGAGTGTAAGAGTAGATCCCGAGCAACCTAATCTCAGCGAGAATCTTCCCTCCGGTCTCTAATGGAGAAAGTAACCGGGGAGGGGTGAGCATGGCCCGCTTGTCGTCATGTGAGCAGAGAGCAACCCTTCCCGATTCTGCCGTGGGCAGTAGTTCTTAACTTGCACAAAGAGCCCAGGCTAATAAATCCACCACTCAATTGCAATCCCCACAGCGCGTTTATAGGCAGCAGCTGACTTTTATCAGCTAGTTTGTTCTTTCATATAAGCAGGGTTTTATGAGGGTCTCCTGAGCTGGCTCGTAACGTGGTGAAAGTCTGCAAAACTCAGCCATAAATTCCCAGCACCTGCCAAGCAGAGGATGCTATTTTCCAGGCACATTTTGTCCAGCTGATGGCTCTGTCCCCTTGCCCGGTTTGCATTTTTGCACTTGTCTCTTTAAACTTGGATTTGTTTTTCAGCTCTCTGCGGCCTCTTTAAAGGCAACTGAAAAATGAGGGGTAGGGAAAAAGAACTAGAAAGTTACGTCTGTGCTAAAAATTACCCCTGGCTTATGTTGCTCTGAAAGCTGGTTCTGATCCCACTGCTGAAACAGAGACATCAGGCTTCCCGGCCACACGAACCCCAGGGCGGGGGACTGGAGGACAGTGCCAACCAAGCCCGTTATTAATATTTTGACTCTTTCCTGGGCCATCACCCTTTGTACTCACCATCCTTGGTTGTCAGTTCCGTAAACTAAAGGAATAGCTCCAGACGCCTTTTTCCCAAATGGGGGAAAAAAAAAAAAAAGGCATGACATCTTTTCCCAGCACTTCGAACTCCCCCAAGACAGAGATACAAGTTGAATGCCCTCCCTCCTCCAAATAAGGCAAGACCTGGGCGCTCTGAGGATGCTGGTTGGCCGAGGTGGACCGGGTTACTCGGGAGAGCTACAAATGCCGCAGCGGAGCGTGCTGTCCGTCTAGGAAACATTGAGTGTGGCTCCAGACCTATTTGTCTTTATGTTTGCAGCTTCTCTTTGTTTTGGTCAGGAGGTCATCAGGGCCGAAAGAAGACCCCTGTGGCTGCCCTTCGTGCGACTTCCTCCTTGGCTCACTTTCCCTCGATCCCACTTCAGGGTGGCTTCATGGACATGTGACCTGTGCATCTAAGGGTCACCCGCCTTGGCTA